TGCTGCTGTGATTCGTCTAGTTGTCGAGAATCCCGGACAGCTGTGTAGCAGTGTGCAGCCCATGCACATATTTTCGATACTGCATACTGATATATGCTGAGATTGGCGAAGAAGAAGACGACAAGTCGTAGTGCATGTGCACCCAAGTAGTCCGGGTGGATAGCAGACTAGCAAACCGATGCGGCCATCTCCGCCCGGCCCCTTATCGCCTAGCGTCATGTATCATCAACTTACCCGACGGACCACCTTTCGCTCTGTCTGAGACTCGTAACACTGGCCGACAGCGAGAAGCGCGGGAGACAACACCATGGCTGCCCATCCCGACGAGGGACCCGCCGTCGCCCAGCACCCCGCTCCGCCCCCCGCTGGCGCTATCAAGGCCGACCCAGGAGCGGGAGGCGCAACCAAGCCCCGGAACGAGGACGCGCCCGCGCCTGCGCCCGATCAGGACGAAGAGGATGGCGGCGCGTGGGACCAGGCCTCCCTGTACGAGGAGATTCTAGACGAAGTGGAAGCCTTTGAGTACTCGGACGATGGTGAGTCTGGCCAGCATGCGCCTTCCACTTCCACCACCATTGACACCCCATAGGCGTAGACACGTGCACCGCCGACGAGGCCCGCCGCTTGCGCCAGCGGCTCCACGAGATTGGCGCGAGCGCATTCGTCATGGAGAACATCACGAGCGAGAAGATGACGGCGCGCAAGCTGTGCACTGCCTTTGGCGTCAAGATCCCCAAGTTTCTCGAAGAAGCGCCCGACGAGAGCTTCTACCAGCTGCTGGGGCTGGCCATCAACCGCGAACTGAACAAGCGGCCGCGGCTGGCCCAGTACAAGACCATCGACGACGCTGCGAAACTGCTCCGCGAACGCAAGAACATCATGGTCATCACGGGCGCCGGCATATCGACCAGTCTTGGCATACCCGACTTCCGCTCCAAGAACACGGGCTTCTACTCGCGGCTGCGCGAGATGGGCTACGACGAGCCCGAGGAGGTCTTTGACATCCACAACTTCGACGAGAACCCCCGCACCTTCTACGCCCTCGCCGGCGACATCATACCCGATCTCGAAAAGTGGACGCCCACGCACGAGTTCATCCGCCTGCTGCAGGACAAGGAGAAGCTGCTCACCAACTACACACAGAACATTGACAATGTGGAGGCGCACGCGGGCATACGCAAGGAGAAGCTCATCCAGTGCCACGGCTCCTGGGCGACGGCAACATGTCGGAAGTGCAAGTTCAAGGTCCCCGGCGAAGACATCTTCGACTGTGTGCGCGCGCAAAAGCCCGCCGAGTGCAAGCGCTGCAAGGACGAAATCGCCGCCCAGCCCAGCAAGAAGCGCAAGCGGACCTCCAACGGCAACGGCGCCCGCAAGAAGCGATCCAGCGACGAAGACTCGGAATCCGACGGCGCCTTCGACATCCCGCAGCCCGGCATCATGAAACCCGACATCACCTTCTTCGGCGAAGCCCTGCCCAACGATTTCTTCGACCGCCTCAAGGACGTGGACAAAGACAAGGTCGACCTCGTCATCGTCATGGGCACGTCCATGAAAGTCGCCCCCGTATCCGAGATCCCGAACTTCCTCCCCCGCGACATACCGCAGATCTACGTCTCGCGCGATCCCATCCACCACATCAATTTCGACATCAACCTGCTTGGCGACTGCGACGTCGTGGTCGCGGAGTTGGCGCGCAGGGCGGGGTGGACGCTGGAACATAAGATGATACCAGAGGGGCAGACGACGGAGGTGGAGTTGACGGATGCGGTGGATCATATTTCTACGGTCAAGGTTCATGTTCCTGTTATGACTACCACGAATGGTCATATCAATGAGCAGGCATGAACACGAGAAGGCGTTTAAGCATACATATCGATGGCGTTGCAAGGGTGTTTATATGGATATCGGTTTCGACCGCATGGACGGCGACCCCGTAGGATGGGCTCAAGATTCACAATATGGAGTTTCTCACAGGCTTAGGGCGTTTGTGGTATGGATAGGAGAGGAGAGGGATGAAGTGGCGGCATCAGAGATACCATGCAAAGGCTATAAAAGTGGGGGAAGCCTAAGCCGCAGTCTCCTTGTGTTCATTTAGTTTCCTTCTCGTTCTTGCATATAGACTTCCTGAACGAAATTCAAATTTGATTGCAATAACATGTAAACGCACTGTCGCAACATCACTCATCGCAGCACAGCTATTGGCCAAACGACATTTGATCTGTACAATGATAGTTCTGACGTGCTTCCCGGGTCGTGCCTGCCATGCGGCGCGGGCAGCGTACTAGCCCTCCCTCCCGCCTCCCCTTATGTACTGAATGTCCCACCGTCCCCAGGGCCTGCATCGCACCTCACAACCTCACGTCACGTTGAAGTCCTAGCACTCTTACAACAACGTCGCAGCAGCATCGTTTACGAAGTCGACAAAATCATTACGTCAAAGCGCACGCGCTGCTTTCCCTCCTCGTCCTCGGGCGCGCTTCCTCTCATCGAAATCAACAATCGACCGCGAACACCTCCACCACACGGTTACGGCGATGAGGCGACATGAAGTGCAGTTGGAACAACTACGTCGGCAATAACGCTGGTGGATTATGTGCAGCAACGTCGTATTGCTTTATGCTGTAGAACAAGGCGATGGCAGCAACAATCAGGCCTAGAAGACGTTAGCCACAGACCACTGGACACACCCATATCGTAGGCATGGCTTCTGGAGACACATACTGAGGAATCCAATCAAGGCGGTCAAGAACAGACCCACGATAGCCACGGTCAGGGCACTTCTTTCCGACGTATGTCTCTCGACCCATGCGACGATGCCGTTTGCTGCTGGCGGATTGTCTACTACCTTCAACAACGTTGCGAGGCGATCGCCCAGATACTTGTATCCAAAGTCTTCGGGCAGCTCACGAATATGTCTCTGGAAGTACTCAGCCTGCGGGTCGAAATCGTACTTGCTGATGAATTTCTCGAGCGACTTGTACGATCGCGGATCATTCGGGAAAAGAAGATACTGGATAGAGTCGAGGACCTCCAGCAGGAGCTGTGGTGGTAATGTCCCCCTGGACGATATGAGCTGGGCGGAACATGACGCGCGCACCGGGATTGAAGTACTTCTCTAAACTTTCCGCAAATCCTGTGTCAATGTCCTCGTTCCGCGAGCGACGAAGGTGCGCTTTTAACCAGCCAACCTGACGGAAGACATGGACGACACTTCCGTCTGGATCAAACACCAAGTGTTCGGCCAGGTTGTCGGTCGGTCGTAGCCTTAGTTTGTGCCACTCTTTCAATTTCCAAGCCTTCAGCCTGCCTCGCTGTGCCAATGGGCTCTCAGATTCTTGGCGAACTTGCTGGCTCTGGGCGGGCGAAGGAAAGCAGCGCTCAACAAAATTGGCAAATGACTGCTTCTGGCCCCATGTCCGCGGCACGAAGTCGCCCACCTTGCGACCTTCTGGTAAGTGTTGCTTCAAGGCGCAGTCGATCATTAATGACGCCTGTAGCAAAGCTCGTATTCCGTGCTCCCGCACATTGATGGCAACATCCGTGGCGTAAAGGCAGCTGAAGTCTGCCTTGGTTTGCGACGTATTTCCGATCAGGTAGTCAAAGAATCGGACCACTTCTGCGTGACTCGAATACGCTGGCCTCGCAACATTTACCACGTAACTGCCGGGTGGTCCTCTGAATAGCGTTTCGTAATATTTGAAGAAAACAGCATGGGTTTCCGGTTTTCTCGCAGCCTCGTTGTCAAGGAACTTGTCCGCAATGTCCCTTTGCTCGACGGGCGTTGGCGGTTCCATACTGAACGGGTATGCCACTGCGAAATCAGACTGCAGTCATCCATCTTATACCGCCGACGCTCGCAGCCTGAGGTTCTTCTGCTAGCCACCTCATTGTGCGTTTGGATGCTCGGCCACCAGTTGCGGCTGTGTTCATATGCGCCCTCTTCAGCTCATGCATGACCCCTCCAGGGCTGTGGTCCCCCAACGTCATCGGTGAGGAGCAGGCCACCCGGCACACTTGATTGCGGCGAGAAGCTGCACTGTCCTACATCCACCCCTCTTCTGCTTGCTTTCGCTGATTTCGCTTTCTTCGAATCCGCTCAAAGTGCGTAGCTTTCTATTCCCCTTCTATCCGTACTTCGTGATACTCCCTGCATTAAACCACATGTGACGTCTTCAAATCATACAAAGCAAGGGAACAGGCCTCGGCTGCCTCCTCGCACTGGGGCTCTTATACGTGCGAGAATGGCTGGATCAACCCCATCCACACCAGGTTCGCCTTCTACAACATCCACGTCGGCTTCTGAGCAGGATGGGAAGCCTCGGTAATTGCTGTCACAGACTAACGAAGGCTTCACTGACGAGACAAGGACCACCTTACCGGACACTACAATCACGTTGGATACGCGAACTACCCTCATACCGGAAACGAGTCGCGCTCCATGCACAGCTGAATTTGGAGCTGATCCCTCACCTGCGGTCACACATTCACCGTCGCTTAATGAACACATCAATACACGTTCCGCAGATCCGCTCAGAGACCCGAAACCTCTCCTGGGATGCAAACTGCACCCAACTGTGTATGAATACGAGCATTTCCCATGCCACGCTTCACATCACACTGCTGCTCAGCATGTTCTCAACAGCTTTGGAGATGCCATGTACAAGACGAAGCAGGCCTGGCGGACCAAGAGATTGAAGAGGATGAGGCTTTCTGATTACGCCCCATTGGTATCCTTCACATTCGCCATGTGCAGTGTTCCAAGCGCAACTCCGATGCCTTCTATCATAGTGAAGGGTCATAATAAATTACTCCCCCGCGTAGAGAAGTTACTAGGTGAACAGTATATGAAGAATCAGTATGCTATCGGCGTTACATCTGGTCCAGCGTTCACGCTCTACTATTGCGCCACGGAAGATGCTGCATTCGATCTCAAATATTGCAGTAGCACTGTCTCCCTGGGCGGCTCGGAGCAGCGTTTCTCTCTATGTGGGACCCCCATGTTAGCTGGCCAACACACCCAAACATCACCTCCCGGTCAAGCAACGGTATCGTGCCTCCTCGAAGTCAACGGCGAGTTTTATGCTCTTGGACCTGCGCACCTTTTCACCCACAAGATCACTGCCAAGATCCAAGAGCAATTGCTCGCCGAGTTGCGACAAATGGACGAAGACGAAGACGAGGGTGACGATATCACTTTCGACGACGATGACGACGGCTATAGCGACAATAATCACTCACCACCCAATGGCCTCATGTCGGAGGAGGAATCGTTGGAAAGCAATGCAACATCATCACCACCGAAGGTTCTCGACGATCCCAGCAGCGACAAAGGAGGCCTAGAAGATCTAGTAGCAAGGTATCCTGGCCCAAAAGACCTGGAAAAGGACACCACGGACTGCGATTGGGCAATCACACAAGTCAAGAAGCCTGACCAACAGCTCCCGAATCTGTACCTAGCTGAAGGACGGCAAGCTCCTGAGTTCCGCGGCCAACACATTGTTAAGGTCGCAGTCGAGTTATCAAAAGACACACAGCCCATAAACGTGAAATCTGTCAACATACTCACCTCTTCGTCGACCAAATATGGCACGCTCCTCCCACAAATTGCCAATATTTCCGGCCTAAGCGGGCGGGGACATTGTAACGTGCATGTTGTGCGCATGAAGAATCGTAACGGTAAACATCTCCCCAGCATAGCATTGTTCATTCGCTAACTTCATTCTACAGATATCGAGTTGGGCGACTCTGGTGCTCTTGTCGTTGATGCGCAAACTTCCGTAGCCTACGGACATGTTGTGGCCACAAGTCCGCAGGGCGAAGCCTATGTTGTACCTCTTCATGCAACACTCTGCCAGGTGAAGACGTTTTTCAATACCGACAACGTTCGTTTGCCAGAATCTTTGGACATGCTCGGCCGGATGGTACTTCACTACGTGACTACTGAGGCATTCGCTGAAGCTGAGAAAGTTATCTTAGCCATGACCTCCATGGTCAAAAGACTTCGAGTATTTCGTCTAGCAGAGGGGCGGAAACGGCTAACATACTGGCTCAAGGATTCTACAGTACGAACTGCCCTGCTTGGGCTTGATTTTCAAAAGGATACAAACGATGCCCGCCGCGAGGAGTGGCTGAAGCTAGGTGAAGATTGGAAGATGTTTGTGGTTATAGAAGATCAGACGCGCTCAAGCTTGGATGCTGCAGAGAATGGAATTGAGGGGCTGTCGAGGAAGATGTGGCCGGGGGCGAGGGCGTCGCGGTCTTAGCTTCATTAATCTAGTGACAGAGAATATACGCATGCGGTGCATGATCCGGAGATAGCCATGGCGATCGATCAGTAGCTGGCGGAGACAACAGAAAGCAATAGAAGTTAAATGTTACTTGGAGTAAGAAATGGGATATCATACGCATGGTCACAAAATTGCGTATCCCTGAACCTGATCCGCTCGCTCATCCCTCAACCACATAAGCAACCTCTCATCAAACTTCGTCACACTCTCGAAAGCCTCCGGTCCATTGCAATCCAGGGATGTCATCAGCCTACCAAACATCTTCATGAGATCCTTATTAAACCCATTATATTGCCCTGATAATACAGTGTCTCAAACTATGTAATCAGTCTGTATACCCCATGACCGTCTAAAGTTTTTACCTCACCTTAAACCTCTATAGTGAGGAATCTTGAACTAGCAAGCGCCTTGTTTAGCGTCTTCGTTGCGGGTTCTGTGTGGTTTGTTTTGTGTCTACATACCGCCATCGGACGTCACTGTCTTCTCCATCCTCTATGCACCCAGTGCTTCACTTCACATCTCTTCCTTTCCTCATCAAGGCAAAAGGTCCATTGTCATGCATGTGTCAGTCTTTCTCATTCCATTGTTCGCATTCGACGTCACTGATTGTACGTCACAAGACTGACAGTCACTACGCGCTCTCAATCCTACTCCCCGTCACTGTCGATCTACAGAAATTCCTTTGCCGTTTTGCCGCTGTTCTCACTTCGTAAGCTAATCAGAACGTCGTCGTCGTAATGCGCGCTTCTGGTCCGTGCTTCTTGTTGTTTTCGCGCTCCCAAAGCCGCCTTCACTTGCGCCTTCACCTCACCAGATCAGGCCATATCACACGCCTAGAACGTTCTCCAGGCAACAATATACCCACAGACTACGTCAGTCACCTGGGATTCAGACGCGCTAGCGCCGACTGCCGGTGATCTGCCGGCTCACCCTCTGTCTATATAAACCCCCCATTCCCCCGCCTCTCTCCCTCTTACTCCCCACTCGCTCACTTCTCCAACAACTCAAGTTTACTATCCCCAACAAACTTCAGTACCATGGCCGCATTCTTCCAAGTAAGTACTCCCTTTCCCTTCCTCACTTCACTTCAGTCTTGGCTAACATTTTCAGACATCGGCCTTTACTCATGGTGTATGACATCATCCATCAAGTTCATCATGAGTAACAACAACATCAATCCTTCCTCACTCGACTGTCGACAGTCAACTTGAATTCACTTCACTTCCAACTTTCAGCCTCGCCTTCAACATCACCGCCTCGCATGCCTCACACCTACCCGCCTCGGTCCAACTTACCTACCTCACTTCGATTCGACCTTCAACTATCTTGACACCCATGTCACCTTCGGTCTACTCTACTACCACATCGAACTCGCATCGTCTTACTACATCGGCTCATTGCTTCTACTCCTCGACATGCACCACCACCGACGGCACCGCGGCACAGGCACCAACCTCTCTGGCACCGGCTCGATTCTCCTTTGACTGTCGACAGTCTCACGCCACTCCCGATCGTATGCGCGTCGCGAAAGTCAAGTTGTGGCACAGGGATGCAGGCCAGGCTGCATGGTTGGCCCTTGAGTTGGTAGCGGTTTGGATCAGAAGGACTGGCAAGAGCGGAGGATCAGTGGTGTTGAGTTCAGTCACTGTCACTGTTGGACACTTTCACATTGGATGTTGATGCCATCTCGAGAGTGCCTCGAGACAACAAGGTTGGAGGACAGACGGTCAATGGCGCTTGCGCTACACTGGGCCTCTTGTTGTTCTCTTGGGTGTCTTCGGACCCCAGGGTGGTTGATCATCTTATCGGAACCAGATGGCGGCTTCTTCGGAAGTTCAGGTCAATTCTGGTGATGATAGTGGAGTGTCGGCATGTTCGACGAGCACTGTTCTTGACATCGCTGCTGGTGAGCCCTGGTTTGGTGGATGGTTGAACTTGATGGACTTGGTGGTGGTGGTTGGATATTTCATGGGTGGTTGGATGGTGCAAGGACTTGGTTGGATGTCTTCTTGGTCGTCTCGATGGAACATGGACTTCTTGTTTGGGTTTCAACTTCAGGGTTTCAACGATGGTGGTGGTTTAGCTTAGCTGGCATTCTTGGGTCCTCAATCAACCAACTTTGTCATTACATCTTTTTCCCTTCTTAACTTCTTGACTTCTTACCTTCTTACCTTCTTGCCTTTACATCCTCTATCTTATGCATTCTACATTGCCTTTGCCTACAACACATTCCAAAAGTTTCTGTAATACTACCTTCTAAGACCCTAGCATTCCTCGCTATTAAACTCTAAAGTAGATATTTTAGTAAATATCCTAGGTAAAGACGTGCGCAACATTTCTCTTAACCTTATTTAAGTCGTATTCTTCTGTAGAAGAAGAGAATATAAGCGCTACACTACAGGTAAAACTTCTACAGCACGCACATATGCAAAGTAGAAGATATATACTAAGCAACTAATGCGCGCATTGCACCTTCTACTATCCCTCCTCTAGCCCGCTAGTCTAGAATCACGATCTCTCTCTCCTTTCTTCTTCCTCGCCGCCCTCTCACACATGCCATATAATCCGTATCCCGCGCTACTAACCCACCCATCCCCATCGCCCTCCACTCACCCTCCAAAGCCTTCTCCGCATACGCTACCCTGCTATCTTCCGAGCGCATACTACCCGGTATCTTCTTCTTTTCCTTCTCCTTCCCCAGCATCTCCCCATCCCCATTGCGCCCCGCATCCGAGCACACATACCACCCCAAAGTGGGCTCATACTGTATACCCAAATGTTTAACAATACGGTCGTGTTTCGCACGGCGATTGCGCATATAGTTTTCGTCGCGCGCTGCGTCGCCGAGTTGGGATCGTATGTGTGCGGCGCGGGTGCTGACGTTGGGCGCGGAGAGCATGATGCATGCGGCGCCCATGATGGGGTATGGTGCTGTTACTAAAGGCGGAAGATCGAGGTGCAATGGCGACGGGGTAAACAGGTCAAGTTTAGAGAGCTGTGTGGATTGCATGGCTTGCGTCATTGTCTTGCCTTTTCGTTAGCACTGTCGCATATGTGTAGAGAAGTTTTTTTTATTCCCAGGGCGTAAGTACCATCTTCTCGTACTCTTTTCTGTCACATGCTAGACAACATGCCACGCTCTTGTAAAGACACGCTTTCCGCTGTGTCTTCTTCTTGCAGAAGTAACACATGTCGCCCAGCCATTTTCGACGGCACGTGTATATGCGCGTGTTCTTAGGTAAGACGATGTCGGCGTGGCGTTTGAGGAGGTTGCGCGCGTATTCTTCGACGATGGCGTTGAGGTGCTTGTTTGTTGCGGCGAGGGTGTTGAGCGGGTAGGTGGAGATCGTGGGGTTGAGGTTGGGCTCTGTGTAGGAGAGGATGGTGAAAAGGATTTCGGGTGGGAGACTGGTGAGGTCTGGCATCTTGGGTGGTATTGCGCGACGACTTGGGAGTTTCTGGTGTTGGCGATGTTGCGATGCGATCATTCGAGGACGGCTTTAAGCGGCGGGGTTAAGCCAGTGGGCGTCTTGGCGCACGATGCGCGTCGTGAGGCGCGTTTCTATCACCTCACGACGACTGCCAATGTTCATGAGTTAATTGGAGAGGGAATCTTCAGCTCAGCACACGTTTCTATTACTTTGCCCTCTAGTAGGCCTCCCATGCCCACGTGCCACGTAGACATACCTCAGACGCACCAGGACATGACCGAAAGCGAACCTCTCAGTACTACAGTCGACCTCTTCTAGATATCGCCCAACTCCTATTCGGCAAGGCCGGGATACTGAGATTTGCTTAGTACAATGGAAGACGAAGGAACTGATGATGTCCGAATGTAGATGGCATTGGAAGTAGATGGCGAGCCCCATTGTCGCCTCTACTTGGTACTGGCCTCTCCTGTAGTGTAATTTGGGATACATCACCAGCGACTACACATGCTAATGGATGCTAGCCACCAGACATTTCTACTCGAAGCGATGCGATATACCACACGGGTACCCTCTCAGGCCACCCAGCGATCCCGCACGAGACCCACGAACACCGCGACAAAGAGCCTTTACAAGTCCCTGACAGTTGCGATATTTATCATCCGAAAGTACCTTTATGGACCGGATACTATTCATCGCAGATTTCGTTAGTGGCTCGCTCTCGCTCTACATCGGTGCAGTAACCAGGCTGCGTGAGATTGAGCGCCGCCTACGAGCTTGGACACAACGTGGAAGTGCTCGGGCAGGACGTGCGTCTTAGCGAGTTTATCGATGCTGATGATTAGCTCTATGTGCTATATCTTCTCTCATGCGACAAGGCGAAACTAGGCTGCGTCATGAAAGCGACGGTACACAATTGGGGCTTTTTGGGAACAGTACTCGAACCGAGACGAGTGAGATTGCAATCAGGAAATGAGGATCCAATCAAGGCTTTGCCCAGATGTGCTGCTGATGCTGTATGCAAGGAGCTCCATCTCAGGCACTCACGTCGGCAAAGATAGGCGGAAGGCATGCCTCCAGCTTACTCTAGTCAAGCGAGCCAGCCCGCAGTATTGGAAACGAGACCCTACGGACTGGTAAGTGCGGCTCAACGGCACGTCGCGTGTACTCAGGTTGCAACTATGCCTTTCGAAGAGCAGCGTGTGTGGAGTCTAGCTGCCACTTGCTGCAGCCAACTTCTTACCGCGCCAACGGGCAATCCAGTTATGACATCCTTGCAGCAGGGCTGAGTAGTGGAGAACAGGAGCCGGCTGGGCACTGGCAACTCATTTCGATGGCAGTGCAGAAGCAACGCCGCTTTATACCCCATATACCCCGTTACAACCTTCTCAGCTCGTATAGTGGAGAGCCACACGGCGCTGCCACCCCACGCGAAAGCCAATCCGGACACGAGTTACATCACGCACGGGATGGAGGCATATGCCCTCTTCACCATGTTGGTTGTCGGGATTGGTACAGTTGCTCTTCCCGGTCTCTGGGTCTTCATTGGTTCATCTCGTCCTCAGCCCTGGTGCCACGAGATATGATCAACCTGCATCCTGCATTAATGATTGGATGTGCTCAGCCTGAGCAACGGTCTCATCGTCGGTCCACCGAACCAGGTGGGCCTTAGGTGGGCCAACCGAGTAGTCAAAGAAGGAGGCTAGCTACCAAACTGTCGGAACTGCACGGAGCCTCCCTTTCGGCTCGGCTCATCATCCTTCAACATACACTGCCGTGTTTCAAGAGGGCTTTGCTAGGCGTAGGAGACAATTTTGAGCTAGTGGTCCGTCGAGGTGTGTGACGAGAAGCGGTAAGTTCCTGAGTGCCCGACCAATCAAATGGACCGCCCAGCCCCAAGTACGCCTACGCCCTTTCGCGCATGCGAATTGCTCATGTGCGCGAAGACCTGTCTCGATTCGATTTGCCACATATCGGTAGCTACGCGACGTGAGAAGGGCCGACTCCCTTCCTCGAGAACCTATGCCTCCACCCTAGCGTTCCCGCGGGACGAGACCCGCTGGCTATCGTGAGTCAGACGCAAGTGGTTTGATTGAACAAGTCCTCGAAAACGAATGCTAGAAATTGCGTGTAACACGCCCCTTCTTAGAGGCGGCCCGCATGCTTCGGGGGCACAGGGCACAGGGGGCAGGGGGGGTGCCTGAGGCAACTAGATTCATGGTGGATTGGAGTGAATACCTAACAGAAGGACTCCCACTGGACGTGTCCTCGTCTTCTTAAACTGTCTTCGTGCCCGCTTTCACTCTCTCACTCCCGCCTTTCACGCTCACACTCCAAGTGACCTTCAGACTCCTCCATCATTCATCTTTATCTGATACCAGACTGACCCGCCACGCATCAGGTGACTGGCCTAAAGCTCATCCACGTCTCACACGCCCCTGTACCTGATCGCATCCTTCAGCCGCAATCTCTCGATCTAGGCTATCCCTTCCCTTCCCTGACTCCGCTTTCAGCAGTCACTCGCTACACACAACGTCTTCACGCATCCAACTAGTCCACTCAAGACAGGATGAGCGGATCACAGCGTCGCTCTGGCGGTAGCACTGACGGTTCAGGCCGTAACGGCGGTGGCGGCCGTAGCAGCAGCTCTCGTGGTTACTCATACACGAACGTAAGATCTTTTCATTGCATGCGTTGAGACTCGCCGCTAACGAGACGCAGTCTACCTCGGGAGGAGGCGCATCTACTCCAACTACACAAAGCAACGGCTACGATCCACGAAACGATTCCGTATACGCACAAGTGCAACGCTCATCATGGTCTTACCACGCGTACGCAAACGGCGCGGCAGACAACCAAGCCCAATCCACCGCACCTCCCTCTCAAAGACGTCAAGTCCAAGAACCTCGCGCCTCCAACGGTCCATATCAGTTCGAGACAGATCACTCTTCCCCTCATTTGCGCGTTCAACGTTACCAAATGTCCGAGAGTGACTTCCACTCATCGCCGCCGCCTCACGCGTCCTCGTCGGCGGAGCGCCGTGCGCAGCCGGATCCGTACCAGCCTCCCATTGGTGGTAATCCTTCCGCTTCGACTGCGCCCCAACGCTCCGGGCCCTACGACGCCGTCGGCTACATCAGACGTGACGGTGCGGTGTACGATAGGGATGAAGTGTATGAGGAGTACAGGCCGTACGACCCATACGCTCATCAACATGGACAACAACGATTTAACGGAAGTAACTGAACATCGGATTGAATGACAACACGACGGTACGATACAGGATGAGAGAAGAATTGGGTTCCTTATATTTATGTCTATGGTTGTTGAGGGCGAGTGGGGGCCGACCGGCTGAGGTTCCAGCCCCAGGCGTCAATTTTTCGGCAGTCATTTTGGGTTCACCTCAGCCTACTATCTCAGCACTTGGTGTATTATTTCTCACGCATGATGATGTTGAAGGATTTCCACTCCAGCCTCGTTGGCTGGTGGGCTTTGTTGCCCTCAGCTCGCGACTACCCTTCCATCTAGACTGTCTGGCACAGTCGTTGTCTCATTGTACCTGTACACGATTTTTTTGTAGCGCGTTAGCAGGCAGGTAGTTTTGGAGTTTGGTATGCAATCTCAAATTTAAAGCTTCTCGAAGTCAACTTCGATTGCTGCTCTTACTGCTGTGGATGTGTCGGTGTTCTTCCACACCCATCTCCATCCCGAACGACTTCCGAGCCTCGGTTGAGCCGCATTCTGCTCACAAAGTCGTCCGCCCGTGAAGCTGACACGTTCACCACTCACCGGTACGCCGATCTCGATTTCTCGCAACATCGCTTACACTCACCGGAATTTAGTCGCCGAGAAGGACTCGGTGACCGGAAACGCATGCATGGAGAAAGTGAGACATGTGCTAATATCGGCTTGGTTCCAATATCCAAGAGATGAGCGCCGTCGTGCGTTGGAGTTCTAACAGCCAGTTGATCGTTGAAGGACTCAGGCGCTTATGCAATGAAGTATTCAGTCCTCCGTGAAGGCGTCGATGTAACGCGCGTCCAGAAATTGAGGACTCATTCAGCTCATCTCGCGTTTGATTTGAGTTTGTCGCGATTGACCAAGGAGGTGTGAGTCAGTAGATATCTGTGTCGTTGTTTTGCATAGCGGCGATCTTACTGCAGGGTTCGCCATTGCTATAGCTACGGAGCATTTGTCTAATCTGTCGGTAGGTGAGTGCTTTACCTTCTGCATGCATCGTTCCTACCGATCAGAAGCAATGAAGCGGTGCCGGTTGCGCCTAAGAGGGAGGCATGCCACGCAGCCAGCAAAGTGGGGGACACGACCGTAAGCGGAATCAAGCTTCGATGCGGCTATGAGGCTACAAGGCAATCGGACCCGAGTACGTAAAGGGCACACTTGTCATGGGCGCTTAATGCCAGTCGGAGAGAGCGTCGTGTGGTGCGAGTCACCAGTCATTGGCACTTTGAGGGGCGCGCACGAAGGGCACGGCGGAGGGCACGGTGGATGTTTCGATGCGGGTGATACGGTTGGAGGACGGTCCGCTTGAACGGGGCGTAAGCTGCAGACCCCGTCCCAATTGATGCGGCTCTAGTTGGAGTTGAACCTGCTCCAGCAGGGTCGTGCCTGTTAGAAATCTGTCAGATGCATACGCTATACGGTAGGCCGGATCCATTTCCGGGTCGAAGGTGCGATTGCATCAATGAATTGATTGGTCCTGACGCGCGATATCGAGGTCGAGAAATCTGTCGGTCAGATCCGAAATTTCTGCATGCTTATCGCGCATTGTGCCTGCACAAAGGCATTGTATGACGAAATTGGTTGCTGCGGCCGTCGGCTCCGGCTGACGCGACCTCGGGATCGAGATGAGATGGAGCGGGAAGTGACGTGATCTTGGCAAGCGATTGGCACGGAACGCATCGCACTAGCGCGCGTCAAAACGTGTCCCATGTTCCCCCGCTTTTGACGTGCCAAGGTTGGAACGTCGTAGCAAAAGA